TGTTGGAACGAATAGCGATCGAACGATACGAGGATTGTACGAAAGATGTTCCATTTTATTTCACTCTGTACGAGTGAACGAGCGAGTATTTTTTTTTTTTTGTAATTTTTTTTCCCTCTCATTCTTACTAACTACGTCATTCTTACTACTCTATTGAGTCGAAAAATCGTGTTGGTAACGACGAATATCGTTGATCCTTAATACGATGTATGAATCCATTTATCTCCAATATTTACGAATCTTCTTCTACTATCGTTGATTATCGATATATAAGTCTCCAATTCATTTCGATCTTCCGCCACGTGATTCATTATCGGTATATTAAAATTCTTCGATCGATAGATTTGTCATTAAATTATACGAGGCGTAGATGGAAAAATTAGAAAATTTCTCGTATCGTGGAAAGTTAACTAATGTAACGTAATGTATCCACGAAAAATTCACGATAAATCGAACAACTTTTAATAATATTAATAAAGAGAGAAAAAACGTTTTCATTTTTCGATCAAATGAGATCGATCGTGGATAAATTGGACGAGTCGTTAAACGAGAGTAGGTATATCAGTGTTGAAATATGGTAGCGGTCGATTGACGTTGAGAGTTTCGCCTCTCGAATAGATGTTAACGATCCGTGACACTTGATATCGGAGAATCATTACCGTATATATCAAACGGAAATTAATTTTTATTTACCGTGAAATTCGTTGTTAGAAAACAATATTTTTCCCGTGCGAGTGAAAAATCCACAATGTGCTTCATCTCCAAGTTTACGATTTAGATGAAGTTTCGTTAAGAAAAGTTTTTCGAGTCGAATATTGTCGATTTGCTCGATCATCGCGCACTGCACTTTTTTTTTTCGACTGAAAAAGTCTCGTCGAGGCACAAAACCACAGTTACTACGTTAATTAAATGTTTATACGTGTGTGTATACACATTCGCAAAAGGAGTTTTTTCGTCCCGTAAAAAAATTCTTCGCGTTCGCGTTTTTCTACATTTTCCTTTCTCTTCCGTACTTTGTTAATTCAACCTTTGCGAAACGAAAATAGCACGACTATACTTGTTAACGACTACCAATTGAACCACTCCTTATCTTTCTGAACGAGTTCAATTCTTGAGAAAGAGATATATTATATTCGTAAATACGAATTGCAATCGTCGTAAATTGTAAAATTTTTCGAAAGTTCGTCGAATGAAAAAGAGAGAAAGAGAGAGAAACAGAAAAAAAAACCGAAAGCAAAGAACCATACTATTACAGAAGCAAAATAAATTATGGAAATTAGCGTTGAAGCGAAT